CATGACAGCGTTGCCATGTGAATTTAAATAAGAATATTCGATTTTCTTGAAGGAGATGGGTTGCATCTTTATTATGATCGGCTGACATTTTCATAGACTTTGTTCTCTCCACGAAAAGTAATCTTGAATGATAGACAAACAGACACTTTTGGTGATGTGCTTTTCCTCGCTGGTCTGATTCCCGCCATTATTACGAGATTTAATAGTCTTCTATGCCAGCACGAAGCTTTAGGTATAGCAAACTTTTCAAACCTTTAGACTGAGCAAATACATCATAATCTTGATCAAAAAATGTCTGAATTTTAACGTGCTTAGATGGTCGATGCTTCCTTTCAACTTTGGGGCATTGCCATGGGACAGAGAATCACACTAGTCCACGTTTCACTTCGTGAGTAAAGCTGAAGCCCAGGATATCGCGTTCTGGAAACTCTACGCCTCAAAAGCTAGTTTAATAGAAAAATTTTTAGAATTCAGAAAACCTTGCAAGTGACCGATTACAACGAAACGATAAATTGGTCAATCACTCGCGATAACTGTAACGCATTAGCCAAGGGGGAGCAGCAATACTTTATAGAATCAGTTGCAGTTCATGTAAAAATATAAAAGTGAAACGAACAAATGAGGTATATAAACCTGCACACTTCTAAGTAAAACTGATCAGTGCGGTTGTGGAACGTGTCCATCTACATAGAAGTTCCGCGTTATGGGTGGAAGAGTGAATGTAATCCCGTCGAGATCTTTTCGTAGTTTAATCTGACAGCCGAGGCGAGAGTTGTGGCGCAATGCTGGCGCCTCAAGGTAAATGATAAGAATAGAAAGTAGAAGCAATGAAAAAAGAAGCAGGTAATTGCAATGGAAAGCACCTGGTCGAGCATATCATCTTCCTCCTCTAGTGGCTCGTCCAATTTGTTGAGGTGCTCTTCATCAACGTACACGTGACAAGTAGAGCAGGCACAAGACGCTTCACACGCTCCTTCTAATTCAACACCATATCTGAAAGATAACGGAATTGAGTTGCTTTGGAAACCGTTGTAATTTCATCTGCCAACAAACGACAAGTGAAAACATTCCGCTGATGACGCTAACAAGTACTTCGTAGCTCTACTTTCGTTGGGAAAAAGGACTTATCATCATAGATCAGAAGAGGCCCGCCCGCCTTTGAAGAGGAGAGTACTAGCGCCAGGAACGGGAAAACTGGGATATATATGGCCCTAGATACAGAGCAATAGCTGGTTGCAGGTTGGACATATAGCACATTCAGAGTGTGATGCTTTCGCCATTGACGTGTTGGACTTAGGGTGAAGTGATTCTGCACTTCATCGTGTTTTTCTTTTTTAGTGCGTTTGGTGTGTGGGGTCGCTCGTCTTCCTCCCCAAGCACCGTCTCCATCGCCTTCTTTCTTCTGCATATTGTTGTGTTTGTTTTGAGTTGTTGATTTCATTAATAAAATTTGTGTACGCGTGTCATTTGTGTTCTGTTCCGCGGTTTATCCGGTCATACAGTCGAGATCGGGCTAACAAATTACACTTTATTATGCTTTCTGATCTCAAGAAGTTGAAGACACTGATATAGCTGAACTGAATTGTCATCACGGTACTATACTGAATATCGAGGTAGAGAGAACTAATTCCGACTTCCTAGTATGAAGCACTGAAACGATTCCGTTTGACAAGTTTCAAGATTGAAACTTCATAGATTAAAGGTTCAAAGATTTATTACTGCATAAAGGAAAAAATGCGGGGAATTACCCCCTGCGGTGCAATATAGAAGGTCGTTTAGACTTGGGAATGAAAGTGCGCAAAGCCTCCCAGTCAAGGTCTCTGCTTTTTCTCCTGGTCCTTGTACATTATTTCACCAGTACTTGCTTCTGCAAAATTATGCAGCTTCTCACAAAAAACTCGAGGACCCGTACTGCTAAATAGAACGACTTAGCCGATCGTAAGTAAATTCCCCTATAACTTTCCAGGTGGACAGCGAGTTCTTTACAACTATCCACTTACTAAGGCCCTAAGTTATAGGCTATGTTTTTGAAATAACTTTAAACCCACCTATGTGCAAGGTACATTACGTTGTCACCAACTTTGCCTCGAATGTGTTTCTCCGTCCCACCTGGGAGCACAAATGTCACATTTACAACTTCATCTTCAGACTTGGGGTCCTGAAAATGTTCAGCAAATCCTGGTATGCGCGTTTACTCTAAAGAAACAAACCTGGTACTCATAGTCTCCTGTACATTTGCAGACTGTTAA